ATGGGACACAGGCCAATGCAGTCTCATTGGTTTTTTTGTTTGCTTGTTTTTGCTGGATCTCTCAAAAGAGCAGTGAAGTGGCACAGTGGATAGAATACTGGGTCTGGAGTCAGGAAGCCCTGAGTTCAAATCTGTCCTCAGACACTAGCTGTTTGATCATGGTCAAGTCATTTAACCTCTGTTTGCCTTTGTTTTCTCATCTGTAAAATGGGATAATAATAGCATCTACTTTCCAGGCTTGATGTGAGACTCAAATGAGATAATCTTTGTAAAGTGCTTTGCAAGCCTTAAAATGGTATATAGAGATGTATAATTCATTTTTATTATTCTATTACTTACAAGTAAATGAGATAAATTATTAATTACATATATATATATATATGTTAGCTATTATTATGTTTAAGAATGTGGTATCCATATGAATTTGGGCAAATCACTTAACCTCTTGGCCTCAATTTCCTCATCTGTAAAATGAGGGGGTCAGACTAGGTGGCCTCTGAGTTTTTTTTCCAGTTCTAGCTCTGTGGTCCTCTGTTGCCTGGCCATAGGATAATCCTGAAGAAGAGAAATATTTAGAAATTCATTCAAGGTTCATTGTAAACTTACCCAACAAGCTATACATTCACCGAGGAATGAAGCAAATAGGGTAATGATGCCAGACACACATGATATATCCCACAGAGATGAGATTTCCAACATAGAGGGAGCCCAAATACCAGCCCAGGCAGGACCAGCCAACCACTGCGAGGTCAGAGAAACTTTTCTTTAGTGCTCCCAGACTTCCCTCTCTATGCCACTTTGTCACCCCCAATTTCATTTTCCAGAGTCTCCATGCTTGCTTTTCATGCTGCCCTAGGGACATGATAGTGTTGTGGAATGAACGCTATATTTGGGGTTGGGCACATCTTGGCTACGTCATTGGCTGCATAGCTTGGCCAATTCATTTCACCTCTTCAGATTTCAGCTGCTTCAAGTGCAAAATGAAGGGGTTAAACCTTGTGACCAAGAACAAGGTCCTTTCTTGCTCTGATCCAAATTGGCAGCTCCTCCAACACTAACTCACAGGAACGGATCTGATGAATTCATTCACACTGAGAATATTAATAGCTAATAATATTAATAACTGAGAATATGAAACAAAAGTAAAGAAATAAAACTGGGATGGTAGAATCCGCAGCACCAGTGATTTGGCGTATTTTAGCTTCTGTTAAAGGTGAATTAGATCAGGACCTTTCACTCAAGGAACAGTCAGGAATAGCTGAAATGACTGATGAATGCTTATAAGTAGCCTCTGACTCCAAAGGAATTTTACCAACCCCTGCATTTAGCCTCATCTGATTTACTTGAGACTGTGCATTTATCAAAGGCTGAAGCTCCTTTTGCCTCACTTGGTATAAAATCACATGGCCCCCAAAACCTGTGGTTCATTCAATGGCAGCCAGGCTATTGCTTTAGTAGAGCTAACTTCTCGGAATTGCTCTAAGAGCAGCCCATTTCTTCAGATGTGAGAAGAGTGCACCACCAGGTGGCAGTGAAGGAGACCAGAATGTGGAGGCCTCTTTCTTCCTGTTATATATGACTGATTGTATCTCCTGGTGGTTTATAAATTATTCAGTAAGAAAAAGCTACAATAACCCCTGTTACAGTAACTACAGCTACAATCGGTAGTTAATGTAACAGGGAGTGATGAGAGGATCTCTCACCCCCGTTTCTGGACTGGGGTATCCCCACCCCCTCCCTTGGAGCTAGGTGTGTGTACTCTGGCTCCAAGGAGACGGCCACGTGCTCTGCCTCAGCACTGAAGGATGTGTGCTTCCAGATGATGAAACAATCCTTTATTGGTCCCTGTGACTGGGGTCTGAGGCAAAGATGACTGTTGATTGAGCCAGGAATTGCTGCCTACTCAGCAGGCCATAAAAGCTACAGAAAAGCTCTGCTACCCTCTCTCTTTTTGAATATGTACTGTGGAAGGTGGGGAGAAATCCTTTCCCCTCCCCAAAAGTGGTCTGAGAGCCTGTCTGCGTCCCAAACAATACACACACACACACACACACACACACAGAGGAAGGCGGGACTTTTCTATGGCTCTTATTGCCCACAGTGGATGGCTCAGACCTCAATCATCCTTGACATATCTCTTCCCTCCCCCTCCCTTTCCCCAGTTAATAAGGGACTGTTTTGTCATCCCAAAGCACAAATCCTTTAGTGCTAAGCCAGAGCCTGTATTGATCCCCAAGGAGCCAGAGCACACATATCCTGCTCCATAGGAGGTACCCCAGTCCAACAAATATGAAGAGGCTCCCCTGATCACCATGGTTATAGTCACTCAAGACAATTGTGCTTGTGTCTCTTTTCCTTGAGATTCTGGACTAGCATAAGCTTCAAGGTCATGGTCACAGGTGGTCCATCTAGGTCTTGAACCTAGATTTCCAAATTTTCAATTAATTGCTCTACACACTGCACTTCTAGATGAAGACCACCATATTCCTTCATTATGCAATTGTTAGTTATGTGGATTGACCCATTCTCCTCCTATTTGCAAGTCGGCAAGTAGCCTTACACCAATTAGCCACAATGAAGGGCACAGAGGGGGTGCTACATAGGAGCACTCTGGCTTTATTTGTGGAGTGACAACAGCTTTTAATAGGCTTATTGGAATTGCCACCAATAAATCATTTTAAGCTTTAATCCTTGCTGACTGCCATAATACAGTGAAATTGGGAAGAAAATGGCTCAAATTAGATATCACACCGATGAACTTTTTTTCTCTTCCTTCAATCAATAAAAGGCTATTAAGATCTCTTCTGCTCTTTCATTTAAGCTTGGTGTATAGAATATAACATGAACACATGATATTTCCCAGAGCATATAAATGATAGACCTGACCCAATTGCATTAACCAGTAAAAAGTAGAAGATACACATTGAATAGAAACAAGGATTGAGCAATGAGATAGAATATTTGGGGGTGGGTGAAATAAACAGATGTGACATCATGGAGGGAGTATACTCTAGACCACTAGGGTAGATGAAAAAAATGGACAACAAGTTCTTGGCACAGATCACAAAGCTATCATGGAAGCAGGATATACCAGCAATAAGCAAATTCAACTCTCCAGAATATTTCTATGTCTCATTTCACTTAAAGTAAAGCATTTGATATATTATTGATGCCAATTTCATCTCTCAGAAGACTGTGGAAATAAAATGGCAAACAACTATTCAACCTAAATCTAAAGAAGGAAAACCTATCTGGTGAATTAGCTTTGTAAGGAACTTTGGCAGAAAGGGACTACATGCCATTTTTGAATTGCTGATAGATTGAGAGACGCTCACTGGGCATTGTGTGATCCTATGACTGAAGACGCTGAAAGGAAAGACAGTTCAGGTATATTGGGGATTCCTTCAAACATTTGAACAAAACTGTCATGTCTCTCTGTAAGAGAAGATTCAGGAGAGATAGGATAGTAGGCTTCAAATATTTATATATGGGAGAGGGATTAAGCTTGTTCTTTTTGGCCTTCAAGTGAAGAATCAGCAGCAATGGGTAGCAATTATTTAATGAAAAGGCAAATCTGGGGTGGATAGCAGGAAAACTTTCTAACACTTAGAGCTATGCAAAAGTGGAATGGGCTACCTTAGGAGGTAATGGGCCCTCCATTACACCCTGTCTGGGATGTTATATTGGGGGCTCCTTTTAAAGAGCATGTAAGACTACAAGGCAGCTAAGGTCTCATCACTCTAAAGTTCTATAATACTGTGAAATTATGAAAACAAATTCTGCAGATATAATCTTATGCAGCCCTGATGAGAAAAAAAAATTGTGGCTGGTGGAACTAAATTAACTGGTATGGCTGCCCAGGGAACTCTCTTCCAAGGCTATATTTTAAAAAGACATGTTAAGCATAGCCGAATACCAAGGAGAGTCAATGTTGGTAAAGCTATGGGTACCCAGGCATGCCAAGATACTATTGATGTACTCTATATTTGTAAAAGAGTCATAGGGCCAATTACACTCTTTAATTCAGTAATTCCAGAAGTAGGACTAAATCTCATAAATGTTTATTCAAAAGAAAAAAGACCTATCTATAGAAAAATATTCCTAGATGCTTTATTTGCCATACTAAAAAACTGAAAATTGCCTATCTGTTCAACAATTGGGGGATAGCTGAAAAAATTTCAGTATACATATTTGTGATGGTACAATACTGTTCCACCAAAGGCAAAAGCTTTGAAAAATTACAAAGAAATAGAACTAGAATAGAAAAAAAGACATTTATGAAGTGATACAAATTGAGGTCAGCAGAATTAGAAAAACAATATGCAATTGACTGGGGCTATTAAAAAACCCCCCACCACCAAGAGCAACAAATCCTCATATGGAAAAGATATCAGAAGGAAAAACAGGAAAAATAAGTTGTCATTGTTAAGTTTTATATTATTATTACTATATTTTAAAATTAAAATGTAAACAGTTCCAATTTTATAGCTTTACTTGGAGTTCAACTATATATTCTATTTGTAGTTGTTGAGAGTGCTATTACTTTTATACTAAAGTTATTTTTAAAAATAAATTAACGAAATAAAAAAAGACATGCAGAAATGAGGGAAGCAGGGACAAAAAGCTGAGAGCCAATAAAAAAGAGTAATATGAATCTCTAAGAATATTGTCAGGAAGTGTAAAGCCCAAGGAATGAGTTTCCTGCCTTTGGAAGTCTTCAAGCAGAGGCTGGACCACTTGATGGGGATAGAGTAGATGGGATTCCTACTTTGGGTAGCAGTTGGACTGTCTGACCTCCGAGGTCCCTTTCATCTGTGAGATTCTATGATTCTGTGAAAACACTATAGGCAAAAGGAGCCTTTTAAAAAGTTATCTTTGAAGCAAGAAAAAGAAAAGGAAGAGAGAGGTCACTGCTTAGGAAACATAGTACGATGTGTCCAGATGACATAGAAAAGGCAGGTCTACTCAACTAATGTTTTACTTTTGTCTTCTTTGACAAGGAGAATGATCTTCAAAGCTGAAAGGATAGAACATACATCCAAGATGGGTGAGGAGATAAGAAGCGAATCCCTGGCTGCTTCAAATGAGCTGAAATGTTCAGGCTAAAGGAGCTTTCAGATATCACTTCAGAAACAAAACCTGAAATCTTGGGACATCACAGGGAATGGAAGAGGTGGAAATGACCAGAAACTGACAAACGTTCTTATTTTCAAGAAAGGGAAAAGGGTAAGATCTGAGAACAGACAGCTTAATACCAATTCCTGGCAAAATTCTTGACCTGTCTATTAAACAGTTCCTGAGAACATAGAAAACAAGATAGTTATCATGAGGACCTTGTGTGGGGGTCACTAAAGAGCTATGCCAGATTAACCTCATTTCCTTTTTTGATAGAATACAAGACTGATAGATCAGGGTAATAGCAAGGATATAACATATCTAAAGTTTGGCAAGGCATTTGGCAAAGCTTCTTGAGGGGTCCTTGCAGAGAAGATGGAGAAATGTGGGGGATGGACAATAGAACTTTTAACTAGAGTTGATGCCAATCTGGCCAAACAGTGTCTCCTCAAAGTATCGATGTAAATCTAGATATATCTGGTGGTATGTCACAGGCCTCTGTAATTGCAAAAATCATTCACATTTATGTAACACTCACTGAGGACCTCTATACTTTTCCAACCATTTTAGAGCTGGCCTTCAAACATGTATTATAATCCTGCCATTAGAGTGTGAGCTGCTTAAAAGCAGGACCTATTTTATTTTTCTATTTATAGCCTCAGAACTTAGCACAGTGCTTGCCACGTAGTAAGCCCTTTGTGAGTAAGGATTGCTTCATTCTTTGTACTTGTAATTACAGAACCTAACACAGTGTCTGGCATATAGTAGGGTGCTTAGTAAATGTTCATTAATTGATTGACATATGCTATTTTTTTTAAATCATTCGTTCATGCTGTGAATTGCAGATCCAACACTGGGTAGGGGAATTAGACCTTGAAACATCTAGGGTTCCTTTCTAAATCTAGGATCCTATAATTATATTTTATGTCACTCTTATTACTGCCCTACTGGTTAGACTCAAGGGCATGGCCTGTGGAATAGCCTGTGGTTCCAGGCAAACAGTCATCCATTAGGTCAGGAGAGGAGCAACAGAGCTCTGGAAGTAGGCTAACATTTAGCCAGACAGATACTCGACACTTGTAAGATAGATGAGGCCTGGGCATGATCTATGTATATTCTTCCTAGAGAATGACAAAAAATAACTGAATATACAATTAGTAGGAACAGCAAGCTTATAAGAAAGGATAGCAACAATGAGCAAAATTGTGTTCACTAGGCCAGAAACAAAGAGCATGTCCAAGTATTACAGTAGCAGGTCAAAGTGTGTCAGATCAGCAGATGATATCCAGAGGACAGAAATTAATATTGAGATCAAAATTTAAGATTGAGATCAAAACTGCAAGGAAGCAGCTAGGAGAATTTTTTAAAAAGTGAAAAACAGGGCTATAGAGGAGCATCAAAAAGTCACAAAGTACACTTTATACCAGCCATCCTCCATACTTAGAATGTGCTCCCTCTTCATCTCTACCTCCTGGCTTCCCTGGATTCCTTCAAGTCTCAGCTAAAATCACATCTTCTGCAAGAAGCTTTTTCCAGTCTTTCCTTCTAAGATTACCTCTAAGTTGTCTCGTAGGTATCTTGGTTGTATCTTAGTTGTTTTAATGTTTTATCTCCCACTAGAATGTGAGCTCGTTGGGGTAGGGACTGTTTTTGCCTTTCTTTTGGCTTTCTTAATAGTTCTAGCACCTAGCACAATTTCTGGAACGCGGTAAACACTTAATAAATGCTTATTGACTGACACAAGGCCACTGGAAAAATGAATATTTCAGCATTATTGTAAGATGGGTTGAACATTCATCATAGTGACTACATGAGGCCAATATTGAACTAAGCCACTAATGAGTTTGAGGGAAATTTCTCCCTCTGTCGGGCATGTTCAAATGGGGAATACAGTTTGCTGAGTTACCACATGACATTTTGAACACATTCCCCTGTAATCCTGTGGGCCATGACTACCAGAAGGGTGAAGGCCAATAAAATAAAATCATGAATATGGAATTTGGAAAAAAAAAAAAGACATGAGGTAATTTTCTTTGCTCAAATGACCAAAGAATCTACTGCCTTTTAAGCCAGAGAGCTTGTCCCATCATTCCACCATGCTTGATGGAACTCTCCTCCATTACTACCCTGCCAGACCATCTCTCCATCGTGCTTCACAGAACAAACCCTCTTCCATTGTTACCCTGCTAGTCCTGCCTCCATTATGCTTGGTAGAACATACATTACTACCTTGATAGCCTGCCTTCCCCATTGTGATCGATAGAATATTCTTATATTACTACCATTCTAGTTCTGCCTCCCCATTCTTCTGGATGAAGTGCTACTGTACACTATGGTAGCACACTCTCCTCCTGATTATCACAAATGAGAGGCAGCTGTGTTAGTGCTGGTGGCAGATAATCACAGGGTTTAAGCTGTTACCATTTTCTTTCCTCTTTTGAATCTGAAATAATATATGCAGATGTATACATTTCAGTGACTTTCCCTATGGTCATAATATCTGTGAGATGTTAAAAGGAATACATTGCTTCACTGTAATGACTTCAGACTAGAGGCCAGCTGAGGCCCAGAGAAGCAAGTTACTTGCCTGATTTCACAAAGCAGGGCAATGACAGAACTGGGATGTGGGCTCATCCTTACCTGTAGTCTAGTACATTCCCACCAATCTCAGTTATCTGTTTGATAGTTCTATCCAGGATCTACATCTTAAGCATTTATTATACACACATATATATGCATATAAATAAATATGTGCATATATATGCATATATATACACATACACATATATACAGTCTCATACATGAAATATTTCACATTTTTAGCTTGGAGGCTCTGACTCTTTGGAATTTACCAGTCTACACGAAGAGAAGAGCCTGCTATAAAAATTTTATGATTATGTGAAAAATCCTGCTCAAATGTGGTATTTAGTCATGCCTTCTAAAGGGACCTATTTCTAAGGCTACATACTAAAAACATGCCCATTTAGTTTAAAAGGAGAAGGTGAAGCCTACATTTTAAGTGTGATTTTTGCGCCTGGTTAAGTGCTGAACATTTTAGGAGGGCCGCGATATTCCTACCAGCAGACTGATGATAGAATTAAAAACCGATGAGCAGAGTTTGCTTTCTCTTTCAAGGCAATGACTTTCTCTGTAGTGAGATATTTCCATTTCAAACGTGGACTCTGTTCCACAATGTACTTTTATGTTTTAATCGAATTCTCTTCCTAACACCGCAAGGAACAGTGGGAGGAGCTGTGGGAGTGAGGAGGAGGGAGAAAAGGCTCCTTCCTGGACATTGGACCATGTGGTGGGTTATGTGAGCAACATTAGGGAGAAAGGTTCTGGTCTTTCTTCCAGCATAGACCCTTCTGGATTTAGGTGGTGCTTTCCTCATTTTGTTCTATGCAAAAGCTTATGGGGCTGAAAGAGAGAGATAAAGACGACTTGAGATTTCACTGGCATATGGAACTCCAGCAAGAGCAAACTCCCTCTAGCAATTCAAGTCCACACCTGATCAGCAATTTAGAGTCATGCAGAGTTGTTTAGGACACAGAGGTTATGTGACTTGCCCAGAGTGACACAATCAGTATATGTTAGAGGCAGGGGTTGGACTCAAATGTTCTTAGCTCTGAGGTCAGTTCTCAATTAATCCTACTACCTCAAGTCTTAGAAAATCATTGTGGAAAGGTCATTGACTTGGAGTTAAAAGTTGTAAGTGCCCCAGAGCCTCTTACTACAAAGATCTCAGGGGCTTTGAAACAGATATATCAGGGTTCAGAAGGTCTTTTCAAGGATGACCTAAGCAGACCTTGGAGGGGAAAGAGTAATTAGTATTTGGCCCTTAAGTAAGGGGTTATTAATCTAGAATCTGTAATACCACCTTCTTTTCCTTCTTCTCTTTCTTCTCCTCTTTCTTCCTCTCCTCTTCCTCTTCCCTGTCTGCCTTCTCCATCTTCCTCTTTTCCTCCTTTTCCTTTTACTCCCTCTCCTCCTTCTCTTTTTCTTTCTCCTTCTCCTTCCCCTCCCTCTCCTCCTTTGCTGAAAATGATTTCAGTATCTCTGGTTTCCTTTGTAATTGCATGTATTTTATGTATTTAAAAGCATCATTCTGAGGAAAGACCATAGGCTTCACCAGACCAACAAAGTCCATGACATAAAAATAGGTTAAGAAGCCTTGCCTTAGGTGATGTTCTCTGTATCTAAAGGATATACTCAGCACAGGGGAACACAGAGACACATAGAGAAAGCTCCTAGGGAGAGCTGTGGCCCCTAGTCATAGACCTCTGGCATGAAGATGTTTTGCCTAGCTCTCTCTCATTTTTGCTTGCTTTCCCCCCCTCTTCTAAGATGACTATCTTTGCCCCTGAATTATAAAGGACCAATTGATAAAATCAGCTAAAGGTCTCTGGCTCCACTTGCTTTTTAGCTGTTTATAATACACAAACACAGAGTGGATGAGAAACTGGTGCTGCCAATTGAACTACTGGCTGTAGCTGCTGCCTTCCTAGCTTCCTAACTCAACTGCCCTGCCTCTCTGTGATAACTAAAGGCCTGAGTCTGAATTCCAGCCTTAACATTTATTAGCTTTGTGCCTAGGAACCAGTCACTTTTGATTGCTGGGGTTTAGTTTTCTTTTCTGTAAAATGGAAATAATACTTGACCTCCCTATCTCACGGGTGGGTTGTGAGGATCAAAAGAAATTATGCTTGTGAAAGGTCTCTGTAGAGACAAAATGCTTTTTGCATGTAACCTAGGTTTCAACCCTGGAGCATTTTGCATAAGATTCTGCCTATTAGTGGAAAGAATGAGGATATGAACCTGTGTGACTGCATGAGGTATGGAATTATTGTGAAAACTTTGGAGAAGAAAGACATTCTTTACTCCTATTTTGAAAAAGATACACATGTGGTTTTATACTCTCTTTAGGACTGACTCCAAGGAAGAGAAAGAAAAATTCTTTAGCAGATATCTAGGGAAAGCTGGGTTTTCAACATGTCCCTGATTTCTAGCTTGCTTCCTAGAGACAATGGGAAATATCCCCATTGGGTAAGACTAGGGCCTGTCTCTTGGTTAAGAGAGATCTAAACTTGCTCCCATCTAAAGAACTCATT